AACACACGCACACACGCACACACACACACACACACACACACACACACACACACACACACACACACACACACACATACACACACGCTACATGTTCACTTTCAAAACGCAACTTGTAAAGACCCTACAGAGCTCTGCGGTGGTGTGAACAAAGAATGTAAACATTTTGCTGTTAATTTGCATCCGAGAGGTGCCATCCGAAGCTGCAGTGTTCTGTAATTCATTACGTATCCACCCTTTTATTTTATTCGTTCATACAACTACAAAATACATCACGACATCGTACTATTGCATCTATTTCACGAAGCGACGCACTTACGAAATCAATTTTTCAACAATTTTGTAATGACTACCGATATTTAAAAAAAATCGATAAAAAATTATAAATTGATTATAAATCGATAAAAAAATATCGCCGTCTTTTACAGATCCGCAGCCTAATTGGTACCGGAACAACATCCGCGATTGGTCAACAGTATTCGGTTCTATACCGCGGCGCTGTGCCGACAACATACCGCTACAGGATATTGTCTGCAGTAGGGAAAGCGGTCGGCATCGGGTGCGCGGGGAACCATGGCGACACGGTGACGCTGGTAGGGATGGCAGCAGACAACCCAACAGGAGAGGAAAGAGCAGGAGGGAGGAGCAGCACCAAGCGCAGCGAGACGATAGAGCGGTAGCTGAGACGGGTACCACTGTCCCGCCTCCCGGCAGCGAGCCCCAAACAAAAATTCGGGAATGGCCCAACTGCGAACATTTCCACCTGGCGGATGCTGTCAATAAGCACGTGAGCTTTAAGAAAGATGGCGCTGGCGCGAGACAGCAAGCTCAAAATTCCGCTAGACGGCGTCCCGATCCAAGCTCCGACACTGCGGAGGAAATTTCTGACTTCAAAAATGAAGCCGCGAGGTGGGTCGACTAGGAAATGCTCGTAAATAGGAGACGCGTTTGAAAACCGATGTAAATTATTCCCCGAAATACGGCAACATTCGCGTATAACCAAAAAATAATATTAGTATGATACTAAAGTTATAATACAAATATAAAGTTATATTTGTATACTAAAGTTTATAATGCACGGTACCTCGCTCCTAAATCAGCTAGAACGATTACATTATATTATATAATATGATATTATATTATATCATATTAACGCCACTCGGCAAATACTTCGGGCAGGTTCGTGATTGTTCGGCACCGATGTTGACTGAGCTCTATCGGTCAGGGGTCGCGGCTTCGGATGAGTAACCATGGTGACGCCAGTTTATATCCCTCCCATGCAGAACTCGATTGTTGGAAATGAAGCAATAATTACGTCATATCGTCTGCTGCATATAAACGCATTAGTTGCTTCGTTAAAACTCAATGCCGCACCGTACGCCGTTAGTGGAAACGGAACTAACGGTGATTGCTTTCTATAGCTACCCCGAGTTGACACATAATTACCTTCCCCTGACGAAACATAATTATAACTTCCCTCCTGTGAACTGCGCTAAAGATCCAACGTTGGTATTCAATGAAAGCCCGAATCGGATGCGCCCATAATGCTAACAGTCTATTTGTTCTTATTTGTTATTGTCTATTTGTTCTTACTTTTTAGCAAACATATATTATTTTTATATATTTATTATAATTTATTATAATTTATATTATTATTATAAGCAGACTATTATCAAACAGTCTATTTGTTCTTACTATGGTTGAGTTGTCCTTGGTTGCTAGCGTTCGCCTAATAATTTCGTTTAAAAAAAATGGTTGCTTTATAATTATTTATTTTCGCAGGACAAACTTTATCAACACGCTGAGCTCCATGTATGCGGTGATTCTTGTTGTCATGGCACTGTGCATGTCTCTCTCTGAGGCGCTAACCAAAGACATCAATATCTACTACTTTGAGGTATTACGTCTTAAGGTGTTGGTGACCTTACGATGTGGGTGGATCTGGTTTTTATAACCAGCTTAATTGTCTGTACTTTCCGTGTTTAATTACATTTAGTAATTATGAGACAATCAAGAGATGAGTTTTATCGGGATCGGCAGAAATGATCTCAAGCGAAATTTCCGCTGTCTCGCGACAAATATATTAACAAAATAATGAAACAAACTAATTACATATACTGTAGCTTTGAGTGACTAAGAACTGACCGTCCTTTTCCCATCGATTTTAATTTACGGTTAACCATTTAATGATTTTTATGATTAATAGTGTTGGTCAATAAAATGAGTCATATCATCAACCCCAATCAAAACCTCACGTCCCCCTACTATTCCGTGGCAGTTTGCATGCATGCGAACCTCTTTACAGGGAAAATGTAACGTTGCATATAATTTAATTTATTATTTTTTTTATTTTATTATTTTTTTTATTTTATTATTTTTTATAATAGTATATTTCACGTGAGTAAACGTTTCACACAGGGAACTGTCTTTATTATCAGGGATTCTATCTTTATCTTTACGTCGGAACCATAGCGTTTCTCATTTACATCTACGGATTTCTGCTACGCGGTGGGGAAAAGGGAATCCAGTTTCTCGCACCGGATGACCTTCAAGACAACAGTCCAGAAGAAACCGTGTACATCCGGCATCGAACGACTCAAACCGCCCATCATACCGGAAGTCTCTACCTGCGCATGGGAGCTATCGGTTTGTATATCACTCACCCATACAGCAGCCGTACACGCGCCAAGGTAGTCCATCCCTAGCCGCAATACATAATACATAAATAAATTAATATTAGGCCTATAAAGAAAAGAGGTCGGAGAGGAAGTTATTGACTACTAGAAGACTGGTGTTGATCGAGACAGAGGTCATTAAGAAGGTGACCCACCATCACGGGGGACAGCCGGTGTTTATTGTGATTTATGTCCCCACCCTGCTAGAAATTGCCATCTCGCTGTAAAAGCCAATCCACCTTCTTCCGCTGTTCAGGATCTCCTCTCTCTTTATTCCCTCCGTTTGTTATGTTATTCTATTATATCTATATATATCTATATATATTATTACGCGAACGTTTATTTCGCTTTTCACGCAATTGTAGAAAGAACCTACGCCGAGATTTGCCGTGTATTTAAATGCAATGACATTGGTTTGGCTGCGTAGGATTCGGCATCGGAGGGATTATCTATAGCGCCCTGAAGCTCAGTGTGTTCGTAGAGATGACAAGATCGTCAGAATGCTTCCTCCTTCTGAACGCACTCGTTCCCGTCATGCACATATTTTTCACGTTCGGTCAGCTCTACTTCATCTTCCACAACTCTAAGGTAAGCCTTATATATATAATCGGCAGTGATGTTTATCAGGCGGATGTTTAGAAATTTACGCCGTAAGAAGTTAATTAAGAGAGTTCTTTATTTAATTGCAAGTTTGAGGCTTTTTCTACTGCGATCCCCAATGTTGATCCGCCTATTTGATCGACGTTGTCTCTTTCTGTCTTCGATATAGTCCCGTGCACTTTGAAGACTAATATTTACGAGGTTATACAGTTTAGTGACACGAACACGCGAAAAGAACGTTGGGCGGGTCCAATGCACCGCTGTGCTTCGCAAAGCGATCTATCTAGCAATACCTATGATTTTTAACGTATTTCCTTCTAGGATTCTTGGAGTGTAATAGCTTGAAATCTTATCAAGTAACAGTAATGTGATTATTAATGGTTATTGGATTACTATTGTAATTAAAATGTACTTCACTGATAAAATTACTTCATATCGTGACATATAATACATAATAAATAATACATAATATGTCATACATAATATATTATTAGCTCTTGATATACACACACACACACACACACACACAC